ATTAAGATGAATAATCTTATTAACAGTATTTTATTATGTATGATTGTTATTATTATTAATAATAGTTATATGAATTATAAGCATACTCTCTATCCTAACTTCAGCCAGCATAAATAACAGAGACCTTAATTAACGCAGTACCAATTATTATTGTTAACATAAATAATCTTAATAATAATAATAATCATATATTATTATAAATCATAATCATTTTTTATATTTATAATATGATTATCATTTTAAAATAATATGATAATAATCTTATTATATTATAGTAACAACAACAACACTACTACTACTAATACTACTACTACTACTACTACTACTACTACTACTACTACTACTAATAATAATAATAATAATAATAATAATAATAATAATAATAATAATAATAATAATCATAAGCATACTCTCCATCCTGACTAACTGAGGCTTCTACATACAGATACTGTCCCGGTTCAGCAGCCTGCAGCTGTCCGGCAGGCCGGGGATCTTCAGCTCCGTCTTCGCCCGCATGCCGTCCAGCGCGTGCTTCACTACGAACTGCCGCTCCGCCAGCGTCAGAAACGCCTCCATGTTGTCTGCGGGCGCACAAACACACACACACACACACACACGGTGACACAGACACAGGAGAACATGGAGACTCCACCCAGAAAAGTCCTGGTTCCCCCCGGGACTCCAACCCAGAACCCTGACCACCACACCGCCCCAAAAATGTCCCTTAGAATAAAAATTGAATGAAAAGGCCCTTAGACTAAAAATTTTAAAAGCCAAAAATGTCCCTTAGAATAAACATCAAATGAAAAGGCCCTTAGACAAAAAATTTTAAAAGCCAAAAATGTCCCTTAGAATAAAAATCAAATGAAAAGGCCCTTAGAATAAAAAAAAAAAAAAGCCCAAATTATCCCTCAAAATAAAAAAACATAGCCAAAAATGTCCCTTTGAATAAACAAAAAAACAAAGCCAAAAATGTTGCTTAGAATAAAAAAAAGCCAAAATGTCCTTTAGAATAAACAAAAAAACAAAGCCAAAAATGTCCTTTAGAATAAAAAGAAAAGCCAAAAGTGTAACTTAGAATGAAAAAAAAAAGTTCCTTAGAATATAAAAAGCCAAAATTGTCCCTGAGAATTAAAAGAAGCCAAAAATGTCCCTTAGAACATAAAAACAAAGCGTGGTTTGGGTATTTGGCCTGGGGCCTGAGGGATTGATCCCTGAGGTAAGTGTCCTCCAGAGGAAGGGTCCTGCTCACCCGCGTCCCTGAAGCCGTCCCGGTGGCTGTGGGAGAAGGCCTCCATGCCCCCGTCCCGGTGGGCCCTGCAGAGCCCCAGCTCCTCGCAGGCCCGCAGCAGCGTGCAGCGGGGGGCCGACAGCACCAGGAGGTCCCCGCCCGCGTCCTCCCCCGGGTGGGCCAGCAGGGCCGCGCCTGGAGGGACACACCTCTCACAGTCTGGGCCTCAGGACGAGCTAACGAGCTAACGGCTAACGAGCTAACGGCTAACGAGCTAATGAGCCAACGAGCTAACGGATAACGAGCTAACGGCTAACGGGCTAACGAGCTAACGAGCTAACGGGTAACGAGCTAACGAGCAAACAAGCTAACGGCTAACGGGCTAACGGGCTAACAAGCTAACGGCTAACGAGCTAACGAGATTCAGTTCAGTTCAGTTCAGTTTAGTTTAGTTTAGTTTAATTCAGTTCAGTTCTTTTACTTATTTTTGGTTGTTTTGCTGCTTCTTCCACAGATTTTTCATTGTTTTGCAGCTTTTTTACTTACTTTTGGTTGTTTTGCTGATTTTTCCACTTAGTCTTCATTGTTTTTCTACTTCCTCCACTAATTTGTCATTTTTTTTTACAGTTTCTTTTACTTATTGTTACTGTTACTGTTACTGTTTACTTATTGTACTTATTTACTTATTGTTTTGGGTTGTTTTGTTTTTCCACTTATTTTTCATTGTTCTTGTACTTCATCCATTAAGTTTTCATTATTTTGCTGCTTCTTTTACTTATTTTTGGTCTCTTAGCTGCTAACCACCGTTAACCCCCCCAGTTGGCCTCCATGGCCCCCAGCAGGACGGACCAGAGACACCTTTGGTTTCTTTAGTTAACTCAGAGCTCCAGCATCAGTCAGAGCTGAAGAAGCTTCTGGATCAGAGGCCAAACGGCTTCTAGAGAGTTTCACCTCCAGCTTTCCACGCTGGACCTGGATGACTGAGGATCCTCACAGATATAATCATATACAATAGGATTATAATCATGGTTGTTCTGCTGATTTTTCAACTTATTTTTTGTTACTTTGCTGCTTCTTTTACTTATTTTTGGCTGTTTTGCAGATTTTTCCACTTATTTTTTTATTGTTCTTCTACTTCTTCCACCAATTTGTCATTGTTTTGCTGCTTCTTCTACTTATTTTTGGTCATTTTTCTGCTTTTTCCACTTATTTTTAGTTGTTTTTCTACTTCTTCAACTTGTTTTTCATTGTTTTCTTCAGTCAGAGATGAAGAAGCTTCTGGATCAGAGGCCAAACAGCTTCTAGAGAGTTTCACCTCCAGTTTTCCAGGCTGGACCTGGATGACTGAGGATCCTCACAGATATAATCATATATAATAGGATTATAATCATGGTTGTTTTGCTGCTTTTTACACTTATTTTTTGTTGTTTTTCTACTCCTTACACTTATTTTTTGTTGTTTTTCTACTTCTTCAACTTAGTTTTCATTGTTCTACTACTTTTCCCACTAATTTTTCATTGTTTTGCTGCTTATTTTACTTATTTTTGGTCATTTTTCTGCTTTTTCCACTTATTTTTAGTTGTTTTTATACTTCTTCCACTTGTTTTTCATTGTTTTCTTCAGTCAGAGCTGAAGAAGCTTCTGGATCAGAGGCCAAACTGCAAACAGCTTTCCAGGCTGGACCTGGATGACTGAGGATCCTCACAGATATAATCATATATAATAGGATTATAATCATGGTTGTTTAGCTGATTTTCAACTTATTTTTAATTATTTTGCTGCTTCTTTGACTTATTTTTGGTTGTTTTGCTGATTTTTCCACTTATTTTTTATAGTTCTTCTACTTCTTCCACTAATTTTTCATTGTTTTGCTGCTTCTTTTACTTATTTTTGGTCATTTTGCTGCTTTTTCCACTTATTTTTAGTTGTTCTTCTACTTCTTCCACTTATTTTTCATTGTTCTTCTACTTCTTTTACTTATTTTTGGTCATTTAGCTGATTTTTCCACTTATTTTTAGTTGTTTTTCTACTTCTTCCACTAATTTTTCATTGTTTTGCTGCTTCTTTTTCCTATTTTTGGTCATTTTGCTGCTTTTTTCACTTATTTTGAGTTGTTTTTCTACTTGTTTTTCATTGTTTTCTTCAGTCAGAGCTGAAGAAGCTTCTGGATCAGAGGCCAAACGTCTTCTAGAAAGCTTCACCTCCAGCTTTCCAGGCTGGACCTGGATGACTGAGGATCCTCACAGATGTGTTTAAATGCTGGATATTATTCCTATAAACCCCTCCAGGGAGACCCCCCCTCACCTCCGTCCTTCTGCGGGGCGGCGATCAGCCTGAGGAGCCACCTCTTGGTCTCGGGCCCGACTTTGGGGCCCAGCTTCACCAGGACCAGCGGCTGGACGCGCTGGGCGTGGCAGCAGGGGCAGCTGACCCGGGTCCAGCCGCCGCCGCCCAGCCTCCCATCCTTTGAGGGCTCCGCCTCTCCCGCCCGGATCATCACGAGGCTGCAGGCAGGGGAGGAAACGCGTCAGACAGCAGAGGTTAATGTCACTTTTTTTAGGTTTCCGGTTGCTAAACTGAGTTTTCTTCTGAGTTTTCTTCTGAGTTTTTCAGATTTTTCTAAACTACTGAACGATCTGGGCTTTAATAATGAACATAGTTCAGGTTTTTATGTTCATGGACGTCTTCTGAGTCCTTTTAGGAAAGTAAAGTATAATCATTACATCCAGGGTTCGAAATGACCCATCGACCGTGCGTCCGGGGTGAGAAAAATCAGAAGCTGTCAGCCCATCGTGCAGTCAGCTCCATGGGGTAGGACGGGTTGGCAAATTAAGTTTATATATCAAATACATGCAAAATAAATAGGGAATCAACAAAGTTTTCGTTTGAAATTCATTGTATTGCCATGTTGTCTTTCATCCTATTTTGGACTGATTTTGGTCAGTTTGGATAGGCTTTGGACCAGTTTTGGACTGGTTTGTGTTCGTTTTGGGTTAGTTTGGGTCAGTTTTGTTTTGGTTTGGGTTAGTTTTGGACCGGTTTAGGTTCGTTTTGGGCTGGATTGGGTTAGCGTGTGCTCAACTCCTAGGAGTAGGACGGGTTGGCAAATTAAGTTTTTATATCAAATACATGCAAAATAAACAGGGAACCAACACAAAAAAAAGCAAAAAAAAACAACATTTTTGTTTGAAATGCATCATCCCTCCATGTTATATTGCAGTTTATCTTCATCTCTTTTAAATCGTTGGAGGCATGACATGGTTGCGCCACCAAGTGAGAGGAACTTTTTTAATAATATTAAATTACACCACAGCGACCACAGCATTCTAGGAGATCTGCTGACAAACATTTTCTGTGTGTTGGTTTCCGAATATGACACGACATGACGCCAGGCTACAAACAAAATATTCAGATTTAGTCTGCTTGAGCCCATGTAAAATAATAGTACCAATTGGGCTGCTTTTGGTCACAGCTAACAACTTTTCAGAGCTGTTAGCCCTGCTGGCTAATACAGATTCCCACGAATTTCCAACCCTGATTAAATCCACTTAAACTCGTTCAGTCAGCGCTGACCTTTGACCTTTGACCTGCTAACTGAGGCAGGCATCAGTCTCAGATGTATCTGTTGGGTTTATGACTTTGGGGTAAACTTTGGGAGTGGTCCCTATCTCTGTGGATGGCCTCTAGTGGCCTGGTCACCCTTCATGTCATACAATTGATGTTTAATGACGTTTAAATGTTCCGTTGATGTAAATGCAGCCATATAACAGAGACATTTTCATGTTTTATTTCTGCATTTGCATCGGCTGTTCCACTTTCAAACAGCAAGGATTTGCATGGACTAACTTAACTCTGACACTCAGAATATTTCTCACATTCTCACGGCTCCTTAAAGATAAAAATCCTCACTGAATGAGTCAGTTATTTCTACGGAAACCGCAGTTTCTTTTAGCGTCTCTTCCCTCTGAAAGCTTCCTGTGTTTTTCTCTGAGCTTAAAGACACAGAGACGCATTTCTGAGAGGCTGAGCACTTCCTGCTCCGACCGAGACGCCTGATAACAGGCAGCTAAAGAGACATGAGGATGAGTAACAGAAAGAGAAAAACAGCACCTGGCAACGCTCCGGTGATGGGGGGGGGGGGTTAGGCTGCACGTCCCCTGGTCGGGCCCTCCCCAAACTCCTGCTCCACACACAGAAAAAACACAGAAAGACAGAAACCGGAGTGAGAAGGGAAGAAGGAATGGAGGAAAACAGCAGCTCACGCTCAGTCTGGAGATCCTCCCAGCTCTCACTGGTCTGGGAGGGGAGGGTGGGGGGGGCAGGAATGCAGAGGAACCTCCACAGGCTGCAGGGCGTGGTGCTGTGTGGCTGGAGCCTGGTTCTCAGGCCCCTCCCTGCTCAGGCAGCTGCAGCCCTGGGTCCTACTGCGCCTCCACCGGCAGCAAGAGCCTGTTAGCCCCATTCTGTAGCCCTGAGAATAAACCAGAGCAGATCAAGAGTCAAGTCAAGTCAAGTCAAACTTTATTTATAGAGCAGTGTTTTTCAACCTTTTTGAGCCAAGGTGCATTTTTTCATAGAAAAAATCACGAGGCACACCACCAACCAAAAATGTTAAACCAAATCTGTAGCCGCCTATAGTGACACTATAGTTATTCTTATTTTATTCTTATCTTATCTTAAGTGTCTTGAATAGGAATCAAATAAACACATCATATTTTATATTTCTTCTTTCAAATTGCACTTAACATGTCCACTTCAATATACAAAATTATATACAAAATCTAGTCATAAGGACATGATTCCTCCACCAGTCACTAGAACAGCACAGACCCTCAAAAATGGCATATTATTTGCAGATAATTAATTATTTATCATAAAATCTTTTTAGACCAATGAGGTGAAATAGGATGATTTTCTACGGCACACCTGACCATCACTCACGGCACACTAGTGTACCGAGGCACAGTGGTTGAAAAACACTGTTATAGAGCACATTTAAAATAACCAAAGTTGCCAAAGTGCTGTACAGGTTAAAATACACATAAAAAGCAATAATTTACATGTATATGTCATTATAATGTAAGAAGAAAAAAAAAAAGAGTACAAATATGATGATATTTATTGGTCACAAGCAAAGTAAATCAGATGGGCTCTAACAGACAAAAGTTCCTGGAGGATCTCAGTTAGCAAAAGCCTCGATTTCTGGGTGTTATTGGACAGTTATCCTCTGACATGAACAGGCCAGGTCCTAATTCATGCAGGTTTAGGTGGAATGTGATAAGAAAGTGTGAATGTTGACCTCAAAGACGAGTATCTACTGTAACAGAGAGAGGAGGAGGAGGAGGAGGAACCGCCAGAGAGTTTAACCCAAAAGTCTAATTCTAAAGGGAATAATAAAAATCTAAAAAGGAATAAGACAATCAGTCATTTACATGGATTAAGTTATAACATGCTATAGTAAAGTGAGTAATTATCAGAATCAGAATCAGAATCAGAAATACTTTAATAATCCCAGAGGGAAATTATTTTTGTTACAGGCTCCATAAGCAAAATAAAACAAAGGCATATACATATGTACATGTCTATACATATATACATATATATATACAAAATTCCTCATAAATATAGCTAGATATATACAAAATGAGAGGTGGATAGTGTCGATAGCCCGATTCTAACAAGCTCAGGCTCCCGTTTGCCTTTATTTATTTATTTTTTTACCTTTTCTGATTAAGTTATAACTATATAGTATATATATATATATATATATATACTATACTATGTATTACTTAACATTACTCAATTTAGTATACTATACTATACTATACTATACTATACTATACTATACTATACTATATATACTATACTAAAGTGAGTAATTATAGCCCGTTTCTAACAAGCTCAGGCAGCCAGAGCTGCTCTGTTTGGCTTCCATTTGGCTTCTTCATTGATTGATTGACTAATACTTTATTGATCTCACACGGAGAAATTCATTTCCTGTACAGCCCGAACCAAGATCATACAAATAAAACACACCCCAGTTCGGGTAGACCAGGGCAGCCACTCTAGAGCGCATCATTTTTCCTTCAGAACAAAGATACATCAGGAAAGTGGTTGCCGGAAGAAAAAAGACCCAGTGCCACGCCCCCTACAGGTGATTAAAAAAAAACACCTCAGTACACCTAAGCACAGATACAGTCAAATCTTCTTAAGAGACGGAGAGTTTAGAGCAGAAATAAGGAAATTGAGCTAAATGTGGTCAGAGGAGAAGATGCACAGGTCCTGCTGAGTCTCTGAAGCTGTAATAACCCCGTAAGGAACTAATGAATGAGGAAAATATCTGAAAACGTATAATTTTCATACCTGTAAAACCGTTTTCCCTTTAATCTGTAACAGCTTGAGCCCCGGAAACCACCGTGACCAGAAAAAATTTAACTTATATATTATTTTTCTTTCTATTTAGTCAAACTGAACATAATTTAACTAATAAATTAAATGTTGATAATGCATAAACTAGAAGATGGAAGCAGGAAGACTTAATATGATGGATTTCCAGTTAATCACATTGAGTCTAAACTTTATTATTGGTTCTTTATTCTGGCGTTTCATGACAGTGAAGTTGAAAACTGTTTTTGTTTGTTTATATGTAAAAATGAAACTTACCTGAGGAAAATCCTTCCGTTAATATTGAAATAACCGTTCAGATGTTTGCATTTTGATGGGGTTTTTTTACAGATTAATGGTAAACTGGATCCACACTTTGAGACAAATGATTACTAATTGTATTTTTTTTTATAGATATCTGCTGGTGTGGCATTTCTATTGCATGGAAAACAAACACACAAACAAAGCCAGGGTCCGAAATATACAGATATTTATTTACAAACAGGTTTGCATTTGCATAGAAATTTCAAATTCCATAACCAAAGTTATAAGACATTAAAGTAAACAGATTGGGGGAAAATATGATCTCTGCTGCATCAGCACGAGCGCAATGTCAAGTCTGAGAATCAAAGCTTACCAGCTGCTTCTTTATTTATACTCTATATTTGTCACATAAATACACATAAATAAGATCTGAGAGGTGGAAACATCTCCCTCACTTTCACACCATTTAATTACATTCAAAGTTCTCATTAGTTTGGTCACCTGAAAAAAAAAAAACAAATTAATACAGGCATAAAACATCTAAAATCATTTATTCTTTTTTAAAAATAATAATAATAATAATCTTTCACATGAAATAGACTTATTTTCTGTCCTCCCTGGGATCAGTATGGAGCCCCCCAGCTGACTTTTGCCTTCTGACGTAATAAACTTTGCGTTTTCACACAATAATAGCTTTAAATTGCAGACCGATCTAAAAAATTAAACCTTATAATCTTGTCTAAAGGCTGTGGGAGATCCATTGTGTGTCTGATGTAAAATAATGCACGATTATGGGCATGCAGAAGAGCTCAAAACTTTATACGTAAGAGCTCAAAACTCTTTGCGTAA